CCAGATACAAATAAGAGTGTCTCATGTTACTGAGCTATTTCCTAAATCTGCAAAAGCAGCACACTTTGTACTTTGTGCAGATGGGCAGCGGGCCTCCTTTTCTTCTCTGGAGACACAGCGTTGTTGTGATGGTGGTTTCCAATGGGAAATTCCACACCACCCACTTTGCCATGGACAGACTGGGTGAGAAGAAAGTCCTGTGGTGGAGGTGATTCTCTATGAAACAGCAGCAAGCATCCATCGAGCTATTAGTCATGTACTGTATAGTTAGTAACGCTTATGCAAATTTGATATAAATATATATTTACACTCTGTACAAAGCATCATCCAGATCAGGTTTCATGATAATTAGAAAAGTAGCTAATGGGATACAAAAGTATATCCAGTATAAATTGGCCAAGAAGGTAATTGTGCTAACATATATTTAGCTTTTTTTTTTTTTGAAAGTTTCTAGGCTAAGGATGGCTAGAAAGGAGACTACTTCTTTAAATAAGCCTCCCTTTTTTGTAGCCTTGAATGACTAGAGGGTATTTTTATTCATCTTTAAGCGATGCTTGTTAAAAAGAAATGAACTAAATGGTGTTTTGGGATGTAACATTTCCTTTAAATACATTCCTTGTAGGTGGAATAGCACTCTTTTTTGTGTGCCATAGATGCTCAAGCCTCATTAATGTATCTTCGTGTTCACTGTTTGTGTACAAGTTCATAAGGTGATAGCATCAAAATATGCTGCTGTAATAAAAGAATGATTGATTTTTACTGCTTCCTAAAATGCAGAGTGAGATCATGCTGCAAACACTGGAAATATAGAACTGTGATAATTTGATTGAAAAAAAGCCAGAGGTAGTTTGATTCTGACCACTTCTGAAGTGTTTAAATTCCTTGGATACACAGAGTATAAAAACCTTCAGTAAATGCAGCCTGTGTCTTCAAGTATAAAGCATGGGCTTAGCCTCTTATCAGTAAGATTTAAGTCTTAGAGGACCAGATCTTTAAATGTACTGGGATTGTGGGCGAGATCCTACTTAGTGCTTAAAAAATGTTTCCAACATGTGCAATATACTTCTGAGAAGTAGCAAAGCATATGGGGCTTGAAAGCTGGTGGAGCAGTGTCTTTGCTGCAGTTTAGAAGAGGGAGATGGTGACTTTGTTTTACATGAGAACTCTCTGGGCTAAACTAATACATGGCGTAATGTTGTCCAAGTTAGTGTGTAAAATTAGTAAAACAGTCTTCAGGATTAGTTCAATTGTAGCACTTGGAGGATTTTATGCCCATAAGTGTATTTTGAGAGCCAAGTTTGTACTTTATTAGAATTGGACTGTTTATACTTCTGTGTTTATTTGATGGTAGTTTAATTAAATTGAAATGGTGCTTCAATATTTGAGACCAATGGGAAATTAGCCTCTGGGATTATAATCAACAGAAGCTGAAGAATTATCAGAGCAGAACCATTTTTTCAATCCCCATTTTCTCCACAGGGTTTTCCAGGAACCACGAATGTGTCTTCAGTAATCAGATATGTGCCAATTAGTCCTGAACTCTGCTCAATATGTTATCAGTGTTCAAAAAGGAGATAGTAAAACTTGTTTCTGAGGAAGGAGATGCAGCTTTGATTTGTGTTTTAAGCTCTTCCCTCTAGTGCTTGGGCAGAAGCAAGCTTTGACGACAGTATAAGCACAAATTTGAATGTAAGATAGACTAGAAAAACACCATGCATCAAAACAGCCCAACCCAACCCTTCCTTGAAATCTGTTTGAAACATATCATCATCGGATGTATGTAGAATTGCACTATCCATTCACTTGGATATTTTTTTCCCTGCTAAATTAACTACAGTCATTTGTATGCTTCCCCAAGGGGTCCCTCACTGACACATACTTCTTCCCAGCTGATTTTATTTAAAATGCAACTTCTGTTTCCCCAATGTCTAATCAGACAATGTAATACCTAGTCTACGAAGCATCCTTCAGAACAAGGGAGAAAATTCTCTATACTCCTCCCTTGCTGAAGTTTCCTGCTCTTCCCTGCCAACTGCTGCCTTTACACTGAGGATTTCTGTGGGACCAAAAAACGGGGTTATCTAGCAGCTTCCCCTGAAAGTCAGACTGCTGTTTGGTCAGAGTGTGGCCAGAGGTTTCTGTACTCCACATCTGGCATTAATGATAAAGATTGTACACCAAACAGCAGCTGTCACATTGCACAACACAGAAGCATTGCCTGGTGTGATTAAAGCAGTTGTTAAAGTGAGTTGGACCATGGTTCTCTCTGTAGTGGTGCTTTTCAGATGAGCTGTACCTCCTCCAGAGTAACTTGTGTTGAGCCATAGCTTAACCTCGTCGTTTGGTGCTGATCCCCTGCTGTGGCTGCTCTGGAATCCATCAGTGGAAGAGAGCCCTGTTCCTTCCTGCCTGAACCTTGCTTGATAGTCAAACACTGAGTGCTTCAGACCAGGGCTTGAAATATTGATGTAGGAGTGCGCAGGTTGCCTTGGTCAAACCCCATGCAGGCTTTACTCAGCTGCCTTTGTGCATGTGGGCCAGTGAGGGAAGTGAAAAGGTCAGCATGACTGGCTGTCTTTTTTGGGGAAAGTTTCTTACTTTTGACACATCATGTAGGAGATTTGCTGGGATGAGATGACTCATGACTTTATGAAAGCAATACCCAAATGCCATCATCTGCAGTTGATGTCTTGTGCTTTATTGGCTTAAGCGGAGCATGGACCCTGCCTACATGCTGTGTGGGAGGGCTGCTCACATGCTCCTGGGGCTCTCTGCCCACTGCACGAGACAGTGGTTTCAGTCAAAGCTAATTCATGGGGAACGGAGAAAACCGACGATGCAAATTATATTCTTGAGTCTTTTATTGATATTCATGCATTCTGAGTGGTCTCCCTTTCTCCTCAAATTCCTCCCTCAAGGCCATTTTTCTGTTTATGCCTTAGTGATGTCAAACTTGTGATCAGTGCATTCTTCAGCAGTTTTCTGAAAATAAATCTCCCTGATGCATTGACTTGATACAAACTGATCTCAGCAGCCTTTTGGGGCTGCGTGTGAGCTTTCAGAGCCACAGGGAAAGGGACTCTGCATTTGTACAATCACTTGCACAGAGCCAAGCTGTGTGGGCAGCTCTCCCAGTATACTACTCCAAGCACAAAAGAGGAGAGAAACAGCTTGCTTTGACATGATGGTGGCAGATTGATGGATTTGGCTTGATTTTGAGTTCTCATAATCTCTGGGGCTGTCACAGTGGCAATGGAAGAATGAGGTCCTCACTCAGACATGATAAATCCCTTGGGAAGAGTACAGTCCATGTAGGAACATTTTGGGGTACTCTAAGTAGCAAGCAGTGCTTTTTGTGGAATGGCTCAGACCACCCGGGTCATGGAGAAATGGGACAAAGCTACCCTAGCTCTTCTACACGGCTGTGTTCTCTACAGTAGGATTGCCAGCATTAGCCCTTCCATAAGCTTCTTCGTGGTTTTTAGGATGACTAGAGCTTTGGATGTTGAACCACATGAGCCACACGAGAGACCCTGGGACTCTGGAGCTCTGCATTGTTTGTACACATTGAATTCCCTTAATGGCAAGCAGTAAAAACAAGCCGCTTGGGTCTGGTGATGTTTTCTTTTTCTTTACACGGTTTGTTTTGCTGTGAGAAATGAAGATGCGAACAGCCCATCTGCGTTTTTGCAACGCCTCCTCTTTTCCTTGATTATTTTGGTTTGATGGTGTCACTTTGCATGTTTATAGACTTTTCAAATGTTTGTGCCACTCTCTTCTTCCTCTCCACATTGTTTTTTTTTTCAGTTGCTTTCATATAAGCACAGAATCAAATAATTGTTTGAGCCGGAAGGGACCCTTGGAAGTCACCTAGTCCAATTCTCCTGCAATGAGCAGAGATACCTACAGCTCCATCAGGTGCTCAGAGCCCTGTCCAGCCTGACCTTGAATGTCTTCAGGGATGGCACATCCACCACATCTCTGGGCAACCTGTGCCAGTGCCTCGCTGCCCTTATTGTGAAAAACTTCCTTACATCCAATCTAAATCTCCACTCTTTTAGTTTGAAACCATTTCCCCTTTGTCCTATCGCAACAGACTGTGTTAAAGAGCCTGTCTCCTTCCTTCTTACAGGCCCCTTTAGATACGAAATGGCTGCTCTCAGGTCTGCCCAGAGCCTTCTCTTCTTCAGCCTGAACAGCCCCAGATCTCTCAGCCTGTTCTCCCTTCCCTGGGATCATCTTTGTGGACCTCCTCTGGATGTGCTCCAACAGGTTCACGTCTCTCTTGTATGATGCGCTCCACATCTGGATACAGTGCTCCCCTGAGGCCTCACCAGCGCAGAGCAGAGGGGCAGGATCACCTCCCTCGCCCTGCTGTCCATGCTTCTTTTGATGCAGTCCAGTATACAGTTGGCTTTCTGGGCTGAGGGCACATTGCTGCCTCATTTCCAGCTTCCCACCCACCAGTACTCCCAGGTCCTTCCTGGGAGGACTGTGTTCCATCCTTACATCCTTCAGCTCACATTGATAGTGGGGGTTGCCACAACCCAGGTGCAAGACTTGGATTTGTTGAACCGCATGGAGTTCACCTAGGCCCACTGCTCAAACCAGTCTGGGTGGCATCTCTCAGGCTTTAGTTTATTTGGAAGAGCTTGAATACTTTTTCCCCCTCCTTTGTCACCTTCGGAACATGAATTTTTCTCCTCTTGTGCTTTGCTGTTTTTTGTTTTTAATTTTCCACCTCTCAAAGGAAGCGCTGTCACCAAGAATAAGAACTATTTATTTGTTTATTTAAAATTTTTTTTGGTTGTCTTTGGGTAATCTTCAAAAATCATATAATCATAGATTATCCCAAGTTCGAAAGGGCCCATAAGGGTCATCTAATCCAACTCCAAGCTCTGCAGAGAACCACCCCCAAATCACACCATATACCTGAGAGTAACAGAAATTGGGTTAAATTAAGAAGCAATACTTTCAAGGCAGAGACGTTCCCCACTGATCTGAAATGATTTGTCACCCACTCAAAGGGAGGGAGGACTGTTAATCTCTGCACGGGTTTTACTTTGAGAAGGGAAGAGAAGGCTCTTGTTTAAAACGGCGTTTCCCCCAGAAGGGATCCCAGCCGGGCCTGAGGAAAGTTTGAGGAGGAGCTGCTGGGGCCCAGCGCTTCTGCAAGGGGCTGCTTTGTGTGGGAAACACGAGGACGTGCCTTCAGGACGCCCGTCCTGCAGCACCCAGTCGGTACAACGGTTGCTTGCTCAGCTGCCACGCGACAGGAATCTGGTAGTCGTTTGTTGGAAGCACACAATTTTCCTTCCCTTTTCTTTCCTGCAAGCTCACCAGCGGAGCTTCCAGAAAGAGGAGAGAAATAAAAGAAGGGGGCAAAGGGAGCGAGCGGTGCAAGGTGTGGTTGGCTTTCCCCAGCACCTCAAATCGCTCCTCTCAGCTCCGCGCAGTGGACGTGCGTGGGCCTGCTGTGCCCGGCGGGGCGGGGAGGAGCGACAAAAGAAAAAAGGAAAAAAAAAAAAGGACATAAAAATAAAGGGGAAGGAAATAACGGGGAAATTTCGCTTTTCCCTTCCTTCTCCAGGCACAAAGGGCCGGGGGGGCCGCGGGCAGGGAGGGGTTTCCCCGGAGGCGGGGCCGCGCCGAGGTGGCCGCCGAGCGGCAGCCGGAGCGGAGCGGGCAGCGGCGGGCGGGAGCCGCCATGGAGCCGGGGGGCAGGCGCGGCCGTGCCGCTGAGGAGGCCCCGCGGCCCGAGGAGGAGGAGGTGGACCCCCGCATCCAGGTGAGCGACCCCCGGCCGCGCTCTTCCCGCGCGCGGGACGGACGGTGCTATTCGCGAACGGCCCGGGGCCGCTCTTTGTCGGCGTGCGGCCCCCTGCTGCCGGCCGTGACCTTGGCTGCGGAGCGGGGCCGGCACCCCGAAACGCGGGGATGGGAACGGGGCGTGGGAGGAGATGGCGTGTCGTTTTAATTTTTGTTTAGGAGGAGCTGTAATGGCAGCTGGCGTTTCCCCTGTGTCAGTGCCGTTCGGGAGGCTTTTCATTCTGTCGCGTTCTCACAGATGAATTTTTTCTCCCCCGTAACCCGCGGGCACGGCGGGTATCTTTGGGTCCGGCTCCGCGGTTCGTCGCCGCTGGCCGTGAGGAGCCCCGCGGAGTGGGGGAGGCTCCTCTAGTTTTACATCCAGTACGTATTTATTCGGAGGATTTAACGCTTTTGCTGTTAGAGATCAAAATGTCGTCATCTGTCCCACTGACTGGTTGTGTTATAGAGAGGCTTGCCAAAATCTAGAGCACAGTGCTTTCCGTGTATTTCTTCTGCTGGATCTCCTGTGATCGGACCAATGTGCTGCTAATGTATTTGGGGGTGTCCATGCAGGACAGCCAGCAGATGCTGGCTTGACGAGCAGGACAGAAATTATTGTACTTAACGTTTATTTTTGATTGTGAGGAATAGGCCAGAACAGGAAACGTACCGCCTTAGAATAAAGCGATAGCTGCTCTGATTATTTTTCTTGTAGGATGCAGAATAGAAGACTGGTGGCTAAGTTGGTTCAAGTGTCTCAGGTTTTCCTGTTTTCATTAAATATGTAAGCCACGGCCCTTGTGAGCTTTTTGTGGGGATGCTAAATGACTGTTCTCAAAAAGATTTTCCCCAGATTACTTCAGACGCATTCAGCATTTTCTTTCTTTCTTTTCAGGGGGAGCTGGAAAAGCTCAATCAATCTACAGATGTAATCAATCGGAGGGAGACGGAACTGGAGGTAGGGAATTCATCCTTGCGTTTTCCTTCTGTGCGTGCTGGGTTTTGTAAGCAATAGAAAAAGGTTTTTGAGCAGGTTTCCTCCTGAACGGTTATCCCAAGTAGTTATTTGGCAGCAAGGAACTGATGATAATTTTGAAAAGTGTGAGTGATGCTGACGGTGTGAAAGCCCTAAGTGGAACAGCCAGCCTCCCCCACTGCCAAACCCTATTTTTAGGTTTTGAAACTAAACTAAGACAAGTTCTGTTTTCATGAGTTGCTCCCTTGGGTTTGGGTTCAGGTTCTTGTGATTATCGGCAATGAAAGTTTTTTTTTATTAAAAGATTTTTGGTATAAAAATCTGCTAAGATTTTCTCGTTTGTATTTAATTTTTTAAGCTGGTCATTTTGTTTTTGCCATTATTTCCCTTACTCAGAAAGTAATGATGGAAAGTTGAAGAACTGAAAGAAAAGATTTTCTACTCAAAAGAAAAAAGGGTTTTCTAGGCTGTTTAAAAAAAAACCAAACAGTTGTATGTTCTGGAGTGGTTGATCTGAGTTGCAGCTTCTCAGCCATTCTTCTGGAAGGCTCAGCACCGTGGATCTAATACTGACTCAGAATTAATTGGCCCACTTGTGCATTTAAGTTTCCTTTTGTTATCTGCAAAACAAAAGATAAAACCTGTGGAAGTGTGGCGTGAAAATATTGTTAGAGGAAAGCTGGCACAATGTTCTACTTTAGGTCCTAAATAATTTTGATAACATTGCAGTGTTTTGAATACTATATTCAGCTGTTCTATTCAGCTGGACAGGATGCAGCAATCCCTGAGCTTGTTGTGTGGCAGTTTTCTTCTCTTTACTCTGTTTTTTGTTTCTGGCATGTAGATCATGAATTTATTGGCAAATAAACTTGGTGGAACTGAGGACTATTTGTTACGCAAAATTAAACTGTATTTCAGCTGTGAAGAGCACTCTGTGTCACTAGCTTCATTTGAATTTTAAGACTGAGCTTAAAAAAGCAGTATGCTAGTCGATCTGTTTAGGTGCAACAGTACCAATTAAATGCATTCCAACTCCCCTCAGGAGCAGTACTATATATATACATGTACTACTATATATGTATGTGTAGCTGTTGGTAGATGCAATTTAAATGGACTTAAAACATTTCTAGAGGAATGTTATTTCTGGTTTTATTTTTTTGCAAAATATAAGTCCTTGCTCTTATACTGCAGACAGAAAAGGCTCCTTGGCAGAGCTCTCTTTTAGGAGAAATCCACAGTTGGGAAGGAGGAGCTGAGACTTTGAAACAGTGATTCCAGTTCTAAAATCCTTGAATGCTGCTGAAGAACATGGGCTTTTGGGATAGCCATGCTGAATTTGCCTTTGAAGTTTTGACTGTTCCTAGCTGCTTGCCCCTCGTGTTGCCCATTTCTTGTTTGTGTTGTTGCTGCTATTGCAAGATGGTTCATTAGATGATGTGCTTTTTTTTTTTTTCCTTCCAAACAATGGAGTTATATTTATCCTGTTCTTCCGTTATTGAAAATACAGAGCAACTAATGTAGTTGTTGACTTTATAATAGTTGACGTTAATGGGAACACAGTATCATTAGGCTATTTACATTAGAGGAAGCTGATACAGAACATCTCATGCTATTGCTTTGTGGTCCATTCATTCCCGCTGTTGAATATTTCTTGGATAATCTGAAAAAGCAAATGGAGGGTTTGAAGAGAAGGTACATTTCTTTGAAGGAAGTTCAGGAAAAAAACCCTTATGTTTTCGTGACTTGAAGTACTCTCTAATAAGCAGGAAAAGTAACCTTGTGGCATCTAAATTCTGAGTCTGCTTTGGACTTCCTGCAGCTTTGCACAGCCTCTCCAGCTGGATTGCTGTGCGTGCTGGCTCTTTCCAGATCCCAGTAACAGGAAAAATGCTGTAGGCGTGATGTGTTTGTAAATCCCGTGCTTTCGTTCTCACTCTGCCTCAGGTCTACATCTGCAAAATGGTCATGTTTACCCAATAGAAATGTTCTGGGGCTAACATCAGTAAATGCTTCTAAGATTGTGACATTGCACTCTCCCAGTGCAACCACAGCTGTGTCAGTGTTGTAATGATGTCAAAGATATTGGAGTTCGCTGCTCACAGAGGTGACAAAATGAAGGATCCTATTTAAAATTGATCAGCGTACCTTCTTAAAACAAATAAAAATAAATTGAAAAAACTGCACCCAAACTACCCTGTGAGAGGTGGGATTTTTACGTGTGTGGCGTGACTTGAGGAGAAATGTTGAAGTTGGCTAAATCTATTCTTTTTGGTATGATCACTCATTTTTTTGCTTTTTGGCCTATCCCACTAAAACCTGAAGGAATATTCTGACCTAAGGGTGCTCACATCACAGCCTGTCCAGGACCTGCGGAGATGATAAAGAGCACTGAGTGGCTGGTAGTTGTGTTCCTTTAATGTATTGCCTGTTAATGAGTCTTTGATTGGCTTCATTTGAAACCCGTCAAGCCACTCTTATTAAGTGCAGCACTGAGCGTTACTGACACAACAAAGGGATGATAAAGGCCCTCCAGAGGATTGAATACTTGGTTTTCCCTGTGTCCCTGCTTGTGTTGGAAGCCTCTCTGAAGAGGTGTCGGAAACATCTTGCAGTGGAGATAGAAGCAGGTTTTGACCAAATGCAAGTTAGAGCAGCACTTTGCTATTTCAGTATTTTTCCTGTTTACTGGAAACACGTCTGCATGGGAACTCCCATCAGGAGCTGAAATGCACTTAGCAAATGTGCTCGACGTGCCCATCCATCTAACCCCTATATACTGTTGACCAGCTCCTAGAAGTGCAATTCAGCTGCAGTAGATCCATCTAGGGAACCTTTGGCAGCATTGCAGGGAGGAAAAATGTAGCACACACCATTAAAATTACCAGTGGAATCCCAGCAATCCCAATGTGGTTTTTGTTAAAGCTTTTGTGTTGCTGGAGCTTCAAGCCTGCTAGTGTTTGTTAAAGGACAGTGATTACACAAAAAGTAGAGCTAAGCAGTGTTGCTTTCAGCCATACTTGTTTAAATGGGACTTGTTTAGGATGCTTCTTGTATGCTTGTCTAGATTCTTTAGTCCCAATCTGCAAGGCTTCGTGTTCCTTTTAGTCCTGCATTTGTCCTAAAGGTTACTCTGGGTTGGTGTTGAACAGAGTCACAGGAAAAGGCTGTGTCTGCCGTGATGCTCTCGCTTGTGAGCCCTGTCAGCATGGGAACCCCTTGCAGAAGGGGAAGGGCTGTCCCTTCCACTTCCCCCTTAATATACTTGGTTTATAGCGCTGAGGCTTCATATTTTGACCATGTCCCATGAAATAATTTTGTTTTTTGTTTTTTTTTTTTAAAGATCCACCTCCAGGTTTTAGAAAAATGGCCTGTCAGCATCAGGAATCTCATTCTGTGCATGCCTGAGTGGGCTGGGGAAATTTATCTGTAGGGCCATCAGCCACACCATGCAGTGTTTTCCAGCATCCCAGCAAAGAGTGCTCAGCAGAGGGAGGAGCAGCTCAGCAGCCCTTCTTCCTGCTGTCTTTGGGAGCAGGATATACATGTGTGATGGATTTGTCCAGCACTAAGAGCTCTTTCCCTCTCTGTATTATCTGCTTGTTTCCGTAGGAAATGGCTTCTGCATGGGGATTGGTGTTACAGTACTTATTTTGCTTTCTGCTTTTGTCTGTGGATGATTAAGGAAGGGCTTCTTCCTTTACTCCTAGTGGTAGGAGTAAATGCCTGCCTGCCTGCCTTTGCTGTGTGTGTAGTGGGACAGTATACCTGCTCCCACCCCTGCACGTTACTGGTCCTGACCCTCCTGTAACAGAGGAAGGTAGGGAGGAATGCTGCCTCCCTCCTAGAAGCACGAAGTTTGTCTCTGGAGAATCCTCATTGCCCATGCACCTCTAGGCTGATTTAATGGGTTGTCAGAGGTTCTGCACACCAAATTGTCAGGATGGGCGTAGGGCAGTCTTTGTAAATGAAATAAAGATGTGCTTGGTACTAAGATGCTTTGCACACAGTCCATGCGCTAGGTTCATTTTAAGAAGAAAATTGTTTGAGAAGACATGCTTCTTTTGATGGGCTGAAATAGTGATTTGTCTGTCATCTGGCTTCTTATTCCAGCTCATCAGTGTTGCTCATCAGAAAGGAAAAATGAGCATGCTGTATTCTCCAGCAGGCGCAGGTTAAATGCAAAACTTCATGTTTTTCCACATTTTGCAACAAAAGCATTTATGGGTGTAGAGGTCTGGCATGCCCCCTAAAGCCATGCTTGGAAAATCTATCATGTGAGAGAAAAGTGCTAAGGATTTCCAGGAGGAAAGCTGACAGAAGTGAAGCTTGTACAGACCTAGAAGAAGATGCTGAAAAGTAAGTTGCTGCTCTTAACCTGATGCACCAAGTGCTGCACCCACTGGAGTGTGCGTGGCAACCACCTGTGGAGTGAGAGTCTAGTTAGGAAGGCTGTAACTTTAATGGAAGGTTTGAGGACTGCTTTTTTTTTGCATTTTGCAACAGGTGTGGAGGGTGAAGTGTCTTAATCAGCTTGTACCAGCTTTGGAAAGGTTTCTCTTTGTCTCATGGAAACAACTAGGAAGGAGAAAGTGTTGGAAACATTAGTTTGCCAGTTAGCTTTTAATATTGCCTATGTGCTAAGTTGGTGCCATGTTTTTTGTAAAAGTAACCACAGAAGATTCTGAGAAAAAAGAGGAGGAAAATGGGCTTTTGAAATATTGCTTGGTGTTCGAGATGCCTTTTGTCAGCTGTATTGCTTTGGTTACACTTTATGTGGTTTCTCACCGTACAACGGTGAGAAAAATAAACCCGTGATTGTTTTTTGTTTTTTCCCCAAGAACGCCCAGAAATGGCAGGACTGATTCACAAGATTTGTACCTAAGCTGTGCTCTTGCTTCCTGTGCCAGCTAGCCTTTGTGCTGAGAAGCCATCCCCTGTCAAGGAACTGAAGTACAGAAGCTAGAAGCTGAGGATTGTGCTAGAAAAGCTGCACAACATATGCTGTGCCGTCTTGGTGCTGCTAACAGCAGGGAATTGCAGGAGTTGTCTTCTTTTTCTTTCTCCAGTATCTGTGATGCTGGGCGAAGGTCTGAGCATAGCAAGTCTGGCAGTTCAACAGTAACACTCACAGGGTGCTCATCACCCTGCAGGAGTTGATGAGCAGCATGAGGATGGGGTGGTGTCTGCCTAGCATGGCTGGAAGGCTTCCCCAGTGCTTGGAAGACTTCCCCAGTACTGGGAAACTGCATCACCATGCTGGTGGTGAGCTTTTACATTTTTGGAGTGAGTGCTTATAGAATTGTGGAATGGCTTAGGTTGGAAGGGACCTTAAAGCCCATGCATTGCCAACCCCCTGCCGTGGGCAGGGTTGCCACCCATAGGATCAGGCTGCCCAGGGCCCCATCCAACCTGGCCTTGAGTGCCTCCAGGGATGGGGCACCACATCTTCTGGGGCGCTTATGGCCCTTCACATGAAGAGTAGAACCAGCTGCTATGGCTGTATTTCTTATTTAAACTTCTCTGGGGTGCCTGCCAGGGAAGTTTTCTGCTGTCCTGTGGCTGCTGACATCTACAGATGTCCTGACAGCACACTGTGTGTAGCCATGTGTTTCAGGGGAGCTGTGTCCTGCTTGTAGGAGATGGAGCCATGGTCTCCAGTGGGAGCCTGCAGTCATCAAGACTGTGAGAGTTGAACTGGTGTGGACTAGGTAGGCTGGCAAGGGTGAATGCACTGAGATGTGAGGAGCTCATGTGGTGGTGTGGGTATGTAACATGGCACCTATTTGCTCTTGGTAGCATAGCTAGAGCTTCAGGACAATAAAAGCAGGGTGCTTGGTACAGAAGTGCTTAAAGGTTTACAAGTCCTGGGTGCCTCAGGTGCCACTTAAAGGATGAGTTACAGCATAGTAATTTGTATGCAGTGGTGGGAAGTTCATGGATCCAGAAGCTGCACTATCCTTGGTATTTTTTGGTTTGGTTTTGCTTTTTCCTTTTCCTCTTGGATAAGCATGTATGTAATAGTTAAATAAGTGTATTTGGGGTAGGTCCCTAAGCACAGATTTGCTAGTGATAATACAAGGTTGCTGTTGTCAGATTTCTTTGGTCCAAGTGCTTATCTTACCGACATGGGAACTGAATTTTTTGATGATGTGCTGCATAGGGGCTGCTTATTTTTTTTTAACCTGATGCATTTATGTTTGTTTTTCCTTTATTCATTTTCCACACCTGGTATCCAGATACACAGCTTGCACAAGTTGAAAGCCAAACCTTCAGATGCACTGATTTAGAAATGATTTCTTTTAATTTTATTGCTTCATTTATAGGAAAATGACTTTTTGTTCGATGTACTGCAGTACCTAGTGCTTTTCTCACAATATAGTCATCATGCTTGCTGTCTTACGGTGTCTTGCAAAATTCATTTGAAACAGTAAACCATGTATTGCCCAGTACTTTAATTGGAAGCACTCAACCTCTTCTCACTGAGGAACTCATTGACTCTGTACATATTGTTCAAATGATACGCTTCATCCTTTCACTTCATCACTTCATCCTTGGATTACTGACTGGATTCAAGTTTTTACAATAATAAATCTCTGTTTTGGCTCTGCTACTCATATAAGTATTTCCTTAGAATAGATTGGAGCCCCTTAAAAAAGAAAGCTTTTTTTGCACTGGAAAAAATATTACTGATACTGTTTAAGGTTTTAAATAACCCTGAAAAGGAACCAAATCAGCTTTTACTGAAAGTATGTTTCCTTTTTTGTGAAACTAATGTGCTGGTGCAGATTTTTCCACTTCTGTGAGTGTAGTCATAGGCTCCAAAGTATATTAATTCTTTCAATAAATAAACAGTTGTGCATTCTAGAAATCTTCAGCAGTACTGATGAAAATCTCCTGAATTAGAGTACATCTTCAAGCCAGCTGCTTCCTGATTTATCACCATGTCCCTCAAGCAGTCTGCCTAATTCCTGGTCTCTAATTAGAATTAAAGGTTTGTCAGTAGCTCACGTGGCCCTTCTTCTCAGTCTCTTTATACCCTGGGCCAGGTCTCAGCCTATATTTGCATCTCTCTGCAACACTGCCATTGATTTACAGTCTGAGTTGAATACTGAGATTGAAATCAGGATTGCTCTGCTTAATGGTGTGGAAGCTTCAGTGGAGCAGAAAAGAAAATGTAACCTCTACAGCTAATCACATAGAGGGCGACTCTTCTCACATGGAAGAAGTTGGAATTTATGGTTCTTAAATAAAACAAATAATGATCAAATGGAAAGTTAAGCCTATGTCAAGTGGTACAAACCTCATCTGAAAAGACAGGTTTTAATGATGGATGATCTTTCTTCAATGACCTGGAAGTTTTTTGTTTCTCTCAAAGTGTTTATAAAACGGAAAGAGGAGCTGACTTGAGAATATACAACTGCAATGTGGGAAGAGTCTGATTCTTCCTCCTACAGAGAGCAAATCTTGCCTGTCCTCATCTGCACTATGAAGTGGTGCCTCTACTGATGATGTTTATTGGGGTGGGACGTGTGCTGAAGTGTAGGAGATGCTGGTCCTGTTTGAGTGCCAGCTTGCTGTGGGATTAGGCCTGCCTGCTAGCCCAGCTTGGTTAGTGAAAAGAGAGGCACATGCAGTGAGTAGGATGCTAGATTTTGTGTTGAAAATCTCTAGTAAATATCCAGCTATCAAAACTGGTGAAGCAAGACCAAGGAGCCTTCTGGCAGGTGTTCTCTGGAAAGTTTGAGGAGTTGATGGAAATGCAAAGTTGTGGCTTGAACCAGTGATTGAGCACCTGGTGGGAAGGCAGGGCCAGCCCAAGGGAGCTCGGGTGTATGCTGAGTGACCAGAAGGTGTGGAGCCAGGATCCACCCCTTCCCAGATCTCATTTAAGGGTTGGCAGTAGAGGTGAGGGTAGCTCACTGGAGATCCCTGCCTACTTGAGGCCTTACAAGGGTAAGCAGGTTTTTCCCTGTGTTTCTATGTCCACGTCTGCTGTATTTGAGCAAATCCTCTCTTGCTGCAGCCTGGAGCTTTTCTACCCTGTTATTGTTGCTGTGCTTTCCATTGCGCTATAGCATTACAGAGGACAAACTTGAATTTTTGTAATGCTACGTGTGCTACTGAACCACTGTGAGCAAGAAGGCAGTGGAGCAGATGAGATGTTTGCCACCTAGCTGTCTCTCAGAAGCGGTTACATTGCTGTTTGCCTCCCCCTGAGTATTCTCCTAGCTCTTTCTCTCTGAGAAATCCTGTGGCAGCAACTGGCATAGGCTATTGCAAGCTTTGTATAAAGCTGCCTCTGGAAGACAAACATTTGCTGCTCAGGATTCCAGCATTACAATCCAGTATTGGGTTCTTGTTGTTACCTCTACTGAGTAATTCTGCTTACTCCAAATGTCAAAACTGTTTTGAATGTGTTGGCTTGTGCGCTGGTCCAAAGAGCGATGTGATGGTAGGAAACCAGAAATTAAATTTTAAAGCTCTAATCTTTGTTCTTTTTTCTTCCCTTTTTCCCCCTTTGCAACGCTTTGAAGGATGCACGGCAGAAGTTCCGCTCTGTGCTGGTTGAAGCAACGGTAAAACTGGATGAACTGTTAAAGAAGATTGGGAAAGCTGTAGAAGATTCTAAACCTTACTGGGAAGCTCGGAGGGTGGCCAGGCAGGTAAGAACTTTCTGCCTTATAAGCTTATGCTAGAAAGCACATAGTGACTGCATCACTTCCCTGCTATTAATAACATCGTAAGTATATGCTCTCGGCTGACGCTGGTTTTTGTCTTGGGTTGCATGTCAGCCATGTGAAACGATGACAAAGTGTGCTGCTGCTTCATAGTCACAGCTGCACATGTTCTTCAGTCCAGCAGCAGCTACAACAGACAAGAACTGTGAATAGCAAAAGGACCAGTGCTGTTCTCTTCTCATTACCAATGGCCTTTTAGAGCCTTCCTCTTGACAGCTGTAATTATTTGAAAACACAGTGTATGCCTTGTATGTATGCTTTTTCATCTTAAAGCAAAATCATGAGCAGATAAGACTGCAAATCGAGGCTGCTGGTGAAAAGGCTCAAGTGAGCAAACCTGGAGGGGTCTTCAGGGTTTGGTGCTGATGAGGTTGTGCTGAAGCAGGATCATCCTTAGTGCAGATCTAAAATTTGTTGGTATTGGTAGAAACTGAGCTTTGCTTTTTGTATGTGGACCTTACCAGCCTCACTCCAAGTGCCAAAGCTGACTTTATTATTGATAACTCCAGTAACTGTTGTTGGTAATGTTTTTTTTTTCTTTGTTGAAAAGGCCACGCGTGGCTGAGGTGGGAAAGGATGAGGAATGAAGGTAAGGATGTGATCCACTGACTGCAGGGAAAACAAGAAAGCTTTTGAAATGTCAGGCAGCTTTTTCACCTTACAGGAGAATCAGCTGTGAGTTAAGCATGTGGTGGCTTAGGGAGTGCTTCTGCTTAGTGTCTGTGGCGGGTTCTGTTTGTACTGAACCATTGTCTTAGTGAGTGGAGATGTATGGGGATTATTAAACTTAATCACTGAGAGTAGAAACAGCATAGTAAATAAGTAAACTCTACTTCTGAACACAGTAAGTGTGCTGTCTGCTGCTCTGTAGCTGCTCTGAAAGCAATCCAATCACAGAGACTGTGGTGTGTGGTAGAGGTAAACCAGTCATGACCTAGAGAAAGAGAGGAAGTTATTAATAAAATAACATGAACAGTCAGCTCCTTGATCTTGTGCTAACTGATGTGCCTAATACTAATAAATAAAAAGGCCTTGCCTCAAATGCAGTCCCATACTTCTCTTACAGTAAACAGCTATAGAAAAACTGCAGAATGCATAGGATTTCAGGAGTTACACTTGGACAAGTCAGTAATGAAAACATGTACTTTTGCAATACCAAAAACTCAGATGACTTTGAGGTTTGTAACATCATGCACTGAGAGCAGTGAACTTTGTCCTCTGTCCTGAAGCTGACAGCAGATTATGTTCTGAAATGGAATTTCTTTATCCTACATCTTTGCTGCAGTCAAAATCCATTCAGTCATAATTGTTCAAAGGTACTCTGTGGGAACTCTATTAAAATAAAAAAACAAAAAAAACCCAAACTGCTTGAAGTCCTGAGATTTGCAAAATTGTTCCTCTTCTATTGGGTTTGTTAGGAAATACCATATTTTTTTCCAGATTCATTTTATCATTAACTGGGTTTAAATGCTACTTATCCCAGATCCGCTAATTGGTTACACAAATCTTTTAATTCCTTAATACTTGACAGCATAACCTTTTTTTTTTTTTTTTGTGGAGATTCTCCTTCTTACCATTCATTTGCCTTTTCTCATTTTTGTGTTAAGTACTGAGTCATGGAAGAGAGCTTTCCCCTCTGTATCTGCTCAAGAGATGAAGCTGGAAGGTTGTCTCTGGTTATCTTTTGGCTCCTTGTCTAGCATCAGTATTGAAATATGAAATATTGAGGGAAAGAGGAATGTTAGTGTTGTGAACAGATCATGTGTCTGGAAAATGGGAGATAGGAAAGATTGATGTCAGTGTCAGTAAGGCATCTGCCCAAAGAGTTTTTCTAGTCCTTGTTTAGTCTGAGAAACTTCAGTTTAATTGGGAACAAATTTCCTATATAAAGCAGGATAGGATATGAATCTAAAGGAAAGTACCAGAATATGAATGTGTATAGGTGCCAGCCCAACATCTTTCTTTTACACTTTGATTTCTAAAGTTTTAAAGAAACTGTGGGAATAGCTTTCTCTTTCCATGTGAATTTAGAAAAAACATTGACCTTATGAAGTTTCTTTTCTACCTTCTGTCTTTTCAGCTATTCTGGAGCCAGTACAGTACTTCTTAAATATAGGCACAAGGTTCTCAGTGATTGAAAGAGCTCAATTAAACAATAAGTGACAAAGTGCATGACAGTGCATAAGAGAAAGGGAAGTGTAAATTCTTGTTCTCTACAAAGGGAAGTAAAAATATGACCTATAAATTGAAGTCTGCTGGAAACAAGGAGCTGAGTGATTAAAGAAACCTAGCTTGGAAGAAGTGCAGGAGTTGTCTAGTGTTATTTGAGTTTAAGATGCCAATTGCGTAGGGCAAGTTAGCTTATAGAAGCTGTATTTAATCATACAAAAGTGTGTTTTTTTGCATTGCACCAGCATGATTCTCTTGTGGAGATAATTCTTATTAAGATAAAAAGCAATAAAATGGGACAAGAGCATTAAAGTAGGGTCAGCAAAAAACAGGTCCCTGATTCAAGTACACCATGGAGAAGCTTTAGGACCATGAATCCTTTTGTCTCCTCACCCTTATCCTCATCTTGTGCAATCTTGCGTTGGCAGAAGATGGTGAATTCAAAACAAATGAATCCTCCTATGCAAGAGTCCTGTAGCATCTTGTTTGTGTAATGTATGCCAAGAGAATTTCAGCTTGGTCTATTTCAGAGTGAAACTTTGCTCTAACAGAACAATGGTGCCTTAGTGTTTGAGAGCTTTGTCCTCAAAGTGGTGGCAAAGGGAATCGGAGTGCTGCCCATTGACACCAAAGCACTGATATTCAGCTTTTACTGAGGCTGCAAGCAAAAGCAAGATAATGCTCTTGACTCTGCAGGTTTTGTGCCACTTGTGCAAAGACAACTTTGTTGTGGTTCCTTATTTGGTATTGCAGTGGGCCTTTGGTTCACTGTGGGGATTGAGCATTTTGATTCATATTATTGCTTAATTGGATTTTAATGTGTTTTTGCTGCAAGGATTATTATTATGTTGTTTTTTTTTTTTTGAGGTTGGCATATTCTCTTTTTTCATGTTGTTGTCTTTGACTTACAGCATAATACTCATGTTCAGTGGAAGAGCCTTGGCATATAACTGGGGCCTGTGTATGTGTGCAAGCAATGATCACGTTGCAGCAATCTGAAGTTCCCCTAATCCAGAAGGTGGTCTGGGTTCTAGGTGTTGGGAAGACTGATTTTTTTTTTTTTTTTTTTAACTTTTTTTCTTTCCCATGCCTTTTTTTTTTTCTCTCTCTCTCTTTTTTTTTTTTTTTTGCTTGGCAGTCTGCTTTTCTCTGTGACTAGTCTGAAAATATTACTTTTTTTGCCCGACGGTAATGGGAAAGAAGGAGGGCATTACCAGGAAACATTAGTAATATAAACAAGAGCATAGGTCCTGAGCCTCTGAGGTAAGGAGTGTCCTAAGCCACTGTTGATTTAGCATTTTGTGGGGTTGGGACTGCAAAACTCCTATGCAATAGTATCTGAGAAGGCAGTGAGAGTTTGAGAAGTGTTACCTCATCAGTGGCAGCATGCTCTGGGACAGAATGCTGTGCAAAAGCAAGTGTGGTCTATTGCATAAATCATTGGGCTATTCAGAGTCAATTTGGTACTGCTGCATGGCTTAGAGAAATTACTTCATCTTTCCTTTAGATCCCATGTGAAACAGAGCTGTCAGGCTGCTCTGAAGCTGAGTTCATTAAGGGAAGTGAAAGCACTTTGGGGTCATAGGGTAAAAGGTGCCTTTAAAACACTGCTGTTAGTACGTCATCACTCTTGAACCCAGAGACAAACCAAACAGGAGAACTTTTCTGCTTTGCTTCTGATGGGGGGGTGGGAAGATCTGATAAAAACGTGTTCCCTCGCACCCATAAGTATGGAAATCCATGTATTTGTAGTGACCCTAGTCAGAATGAAAGCCTTGCGAGAGTTGCTTTTAAGCAAGACTTTATCTGCTGTTACTGAGCTCTGTTTGTGAAGTGAGAAGTTTAGTCCCCAGTACTGGCTCATATGGGAGTAGGTGTGGATGCTTTGCTCAGCTTTAGTACTGAATCTGTTTGGGAGGGTTGTGGTTATGCTTAGTGATATTCCCCATGCTCCCTTCCCTGTTTAGCTTTTATAAAAAGGGCATTGGAAAACCTCATTCAGACAAGAAGAGGTGAAATATCAATGCTAGGTTGTATCTGTACATTTCTGTCACCCAAGGATCCATCTCTAACAAGTGTTCAGAGAGCAGTAGTACACTGAAGGATATACGTATATTCATCCCTCCTGGGTTACCTGCACTGATTCTGCTTTACAGCAGCTACTTCTGCTTTTCATGTTGTTGGCGTACTTCCTTAACAAAAACAAAACTTTTCTATCACAGAAAGCTTGGAAAAATGTGCTGGAATCAGCATGTACAATGTTGTCTTCCCTGCTACAGGCTGGGTGTACAAAAAATTAAATAGTTTGGATGGATAAATAGATTGTGCACAGCAGGGGCATATTTCTTCCTCTCTACAGCTCTTTGTATGTAGTCCAGCATCTTCTCTTTGCTTCTACTACCTTTTAGAAAGGGACAGAAGTACCCTTTCTGTCTTGTTTAAGTCCAGTATAAAATATTACATCAGTTTGAAGAAGCCAGCTGGCAGGGTTAGTAATTATTAAGGGTGAGCTTTCAGATACTCGTACCTTGAGTCTCTATTCAACCTGTCTTCACTAAACCTTGGGGAACCTTGTTACCACTGAGCAATCATTTCCTCCTTCAAATATGATTCTGGTTGGATTTGACTGATAGGATCAAAAGTTCATAGTGGGCACCAGTAGACCAAGGTGGGGACATAGGAGTCACCTTGATCGACTATACCTACTGAAGGGTTTGGAGTCTTGTCTAAGATAATCACTTGGGCCCTTACTGGCT